AAAAAAAAAAAAAAAAAAGGAGGAAAATCAAGCACTAATTTTCATTGGAAATTGGAGCGGAATGACTAAACTAAACCCCTTAGGTAGTGCCATTATGTGCGGAGTGATTGAATATAATGCAAACAAAATGCGTAATTTTCATATTTCACCTAATACTACGTACCACGTTACATTATATGCTACAACGAAAGGGATTTGTTTTCATTTTCATCTATTAAGCATCCTATGTCAACAATATTCCATTATAAGAGTTCTCTCCTTCTTTTATTTTTATTTTATTCTCTTTCATCTTAAATAATGTTCCCGAAAAAATGAGAAATGGTGATCGAACTGATATGAATTAATCACTCTCTTTAATATGTTAATTTTGCGTCACTAGTGCAATAACCTTTTTTTTTTATCACGTCACTTTCAAAATACAACAACTTAACATTTTTAGTTATGGCTTTACAAATCATACTCTTGTAAAGCAAGCTTTACATTACCTTTATTTGCCCAATAGAAATGGGACAAATGACAGAATTTTAAGAGAGAAAGTCAAGGGTCATAACAAAAAATAGAGTAAGAATGACCTATGAATAGGGTCTCACATGGTAACGTATGAAAATGAATGAAATTTAAAGGAAAACGGTTTACAAATAATTTGGCAACCGAAGCTTGCAATTTTTAATTAAAAACCACAACATTATGTCCCCTGGCGCCCGAAAGTCCCGAACTCATTATTTAGTACCACATTAAATCCTACATTAGTTTACTTTGGGGTAAAAATATTTTGTTATTTATTGGACCGTATTTTTACTCTTTTACTAATGGTATCTTTGGATTGAGAAAAGAGAAAAGTATTTTAATTAATTAAAAAAAAAATTTCTTTGCTATCTTCTATTTCTCTTAAACTAAATATAATGTAAATCGGGGTGGTTGAATCACAAAAATCTTATGGCACGAGGCGGTATGTACATGCGCCAAGAAGATCTCCATTTTATCAGATTAAGTTCAAATGGAACATCATTTTTTTTAAAGCATGCTTGGGTTGAGAGAAGGGGAGAGGGATTGAAGGATGTTATAAATACAATATATTGTAAAGAAAATACAACATCCCTCTATACCCTCCCCTCCCCTCCCCTCTTTTAGATAAATAAATGAACCAAAGAAAAATAAAGTCAAAAACTTCCGTCCCCTTCACTTTTCTTCAATTATTTTGATAACTAAAAAAATTAATTTTCTCTACTCCCTTTCATTCCTTTCAACCTAACCAAAACATATTATTAATATAAGAAAACAAATAACTTGTTGCAATGGTAACTTTTTGTAGTAATACTTGAATTA